AAGTGCTGAGAGAGGATTTAGAGTCTCCATCCTTGGAGATTTTCCAAATTGGACTGGGCAAGACCTTGACCAACCTGATACAGCTTTAAATTTCTGTCTGCTTTAAGCAGACTTTGAGGTGGTTGGAATAGATGCTTCTAGTCTAACTAAACTAGATCTTCTAAACTAAATCTTTCTATTGAGTCAGTGATTCTATGATTTACTCTTCTAGAAGACCTAGAGAAGATTCCGCAGTTGACTGAGGCAGTGGCAAGCAGTAATTCTAGCAGTAAGAGGGGATAAGAACCATACAGGGTAGTTGATGAATTTGAACTTGGAGAAGGGAAAGAGGGAAAAAGAGGATAATTATTTCAGTGGCACTGTAGTCAGAAAACCAACACTCTGCATTTGCCAACAGTTTCCACAGCATGCTATTTGAAATATTACATCTAACTGTAGATAAGAAACTGGAACATCTCAACCCTATGTAATAATTCATGGCAAATGTTTGCTTTTTAAAAGGAACATTCACAGTTTCTGTTTGCACTCTTTGCCAGTAGAACCATGAAGTCTCAATTTGACTGTAAGATTGCCACTGCTAGATCTTTGAAATATCTGCTTTTCCAACACAAATACAGCTTTGCAGCTTGCTGTATGAAAGAGTTGATGATGAGGAAGCTCATGTGGCAAGAAGGTTGAAACCCTCAGAGTTTAGCAGAGGAGTTTCATATCTAAATAAGTTCCTTTGACAGTGAAATTTCCTGGATACCACACACTCCCCCAGCTTCAATGCTGAACAGTCCATGGATAAGCTGACACTGGGTGTGCCTCTGAGCTTTGTAACTGCCTGAGATACAGCCTGAACTGTAAAGAAGTCCAAAGGAGAAAAATGATTTCACAAAAAACAAGCAAACAAACAAACAAACAAACAAGAAACCCAAACCAAAACAAAAACACCAAACCCAAACCTGTGGAAAAGTATTTACTTTTCTTTTAATGGGTGACTTTCTGCCAGTGAGCTGGCTCACTGTAAAATCAGACAACCACCAGTGCCAGCACAAGTGAGGGAGGAAGACCATATGGTCAGGGATATAGGAGACAGGAAGGTGGGAGAATAGCACCATCATTTTGTATATGCTTATGCTTCTACAACACTGCAACATCCTTGCATGAGACCTGCATTCTTGCATCAGAGAAGGTTTATTATCCCTGAGGCTTTGAGATAAAAAATTGTGTACTTGGTTTACCAGAAATACATTCTAACTGACAATTCTGTATATTAAGTCTCATGTTTAAACTTGAAAAATTTTGCCAGTACCTTCTGATTTCAGCTATCTGTACTTACAAGCTCTGATCTAATATTCAGTTGAGCCACACAGAATTAATACTTGATTTTGAAAATATAGGCCTGAGAATTGAGCAGTAGTCTTTGCATTTTGTGTATTATTAACAGTAATAAATATGCATAGTTTACATACTCAGTGAAATCAGTGTCTTCAAATACACAGATGTAGACAACTAAGTTTTAGTATATGATTTTGTCAGAGTACACAGAGAAAGCAGAATCTAGTTCCCCTTTTCTATGTTGTGTTATGTCTGCAGGGCAAACAGAAGTCCAAAGCAAAAAAGAAACTTAATTTGTCATTTTAGAGACAGCACAAAAATCCCTGAATATTCTTAGGAAGCAAATCTATGCTCTAGTGACATCTTTGTAGAGAAGTGCACATTCATGCTCCAGAATTTTAACATATTTAAGGTAATCATTTCCTTCTGCCTCTGAAAAGTGTTATTGTTGGCACAGAAAACATGCACATGGTTTCTTGCATGATTCGCTGAGAAGTAATGTAAAAGTGTATTACAGAAATTTGTTACCAAGACTACAAAGATGCAGAACTTAAAAACTTAAAAAAGCAAGATTGTTCCTTTGACCCTGTTGTGTATGAATGAGTCCTTTTAACAGTTTTTTTGCAGCCAGGAATAAATGTGGACATGTACCAGATCACCAGATTCCATACAAGAAAATATATTTCTGTTTGGAAAAGGCACAAAACTACAAGTCACAGAACACAACAGAACTCCACTGAAGTCACTGCAAATCAAGCCATATAAGAGCTTGGAGTGAATAATTTCGAGCCAAGCCAAGTAAGAAAACATAAATCACCAAGCCAAATTCTCAGGCAAAATGCACAATCAAACTCAAAATAGGAGAAAAAGTCTTCTTACCCCATATACCTTCTTGGCTCCTGCCTTTGCAGCAAACATGGAGAGGATTCCTGTGCCACTTCCAACATCAAGGACTATCTTATCTTTAAAAACATGTTTATTGTGATACATGGAGTTTCTATAAGTTAATGTCCGTACTTCATCCTTCAACATTTCCTGTATTGAAAAAAAAAATAATGAGGGAAGACGAGTGGGTGCTTGTTTATCTTTTTTTAACAAGATTTTCAACACTGTTGCCCATAACATCCTCATTGAATAAGTGATTAAATATGGATCACATGAATGGACATCAAAGTGAACTGGAAACTGGACTGAACTGCTGCTCTCAAAATGTTGAGATCAGCAGCACAATTCTGGAGGCCATCCACTTGTGCTTTCTATGCAGGAGCAATACTGGTGCCTATACTATTGATGGAATGGGACAGAGTGCAGTCTCAGCAAGTTTGCAGTTGATAACAAACTGAGAGTGTGGTTGATTCACCAGATGGTCGTGCTGCAAATCAGAAGGATCTCAACAAGGTGAAGAAAGGACAGGAATTTCAAGAATGTAAGAAAAAGGGAAATGTAAAGTCCTGCATATGAGGAGGAATAGCCTCATGCACTAGGATGCAGAGTTTGCCAAAAATGACCTTGGGAACATGGTGGACAGCAGTTTGTACATGAGACAGTAGTATGCCCTTGCAGTAAAAAAAGCATCAAGGGAGGAGGATCAACACTGGTGAGACCACATCTGGGGTCCTGAGTCCAGCTCTGAGTTCCCCAGGATGAGAGATGTTGGAGCAGATCTAGTGAAGACCCATGAAGATTATGAAGACATTGGATCATCTGACATGTGAGGAGAGATTAAGAGAGCTAGCCCGAAGAGGAGAGACTTTTGCCCTATTGATATGGGGATCCTATCAATGCATAAAAGTATCTGTTCAGTGAGGGAGGAAAGAAGGCAGAGACAGACTCTTCTCAGTGATAACCAGTTAAAGAACAAGGGGCACAAATGACATGAGCAGCTTTTTTCAGAGTCTTGTCCAATCATGTTTTAAGTATGTTCAAGGTTGGAAGCTCCATAGCCGTCATTTTACCAGCCTCCCACTAAATAATATTTTTTTCCAATTAAGGTTGTGCCACATATATCAGCTCCTTCAGCCCTGGTGGAGACAGCCCATCAGGCCCCATAAACTTAATGTATGTCTGATTTGTTTAAGTGATCCTTCTCTGTTTAGGGTATGCCTTCTTCACTCCAGACTTTGTCACTCATCTTAGGGACCTGGGATTCCTTAAGGCAAGTATTACCAGTAAAACCAGAACTGAAGAAGTAATTTTTTAATGTTCTTTGTCACCAGATACCTTGCCTCACTCAATAACAGTTCCACCTTTTCCCCCAGTCTTCATTTTGCTCTTAATACACCCAGAGAAGCTCTGCTTTGTTACTCTTTCCATCCCTCATCAGATTCATGTCCAGATGCATCTTAGCCTTCCTAACCTTGTCCCTGAAACTACTTCTAGGTCACCTGACCTTTCTTCTACCTTTGGTTTTAATTTTGTCAGGAGCTTCTTGTTCATGCAGGCCTTCTGCTGTGGTTGCTTGCATGTCAGAACGGATTGTTCTTGAAGGAGGTGAGCCTTGAAAATCAGCCAGGTTTTCTGGACCCTTCTTTCCTCCAGGACCATCTCCCATGAGAGTTTTCCAAGCAGGTCCCTGAAAAGGATGAGCACTGCTCTCCTGAAACCCAGGGTTGTCAACAAGATAAACAGCATGGACCCTGAGAGAGCATCTATGCTCTCAAGAACCTGAATTTCACCTTCTTATGGTCACTGCAGCCAAGCCTGTCCTGACTATCACATCTACAGCTGGTTCTTTCTTTTTAGTAATTTCATCGTTTGGGCCTAACACAACAACATAAAACCAGCCATGGGGCTGCTCACTCAACCTCCCCATCCCCCATGCACACACAGACACTGGGATGAGGAGGACAAAGCTCATCGGTCAAGACAAAGGACAAGGAGGGATCTTCACTGATTAAGGTCCCAGGCAAAACAGACTCAACTTAGGGAAAAATAATAATTGATTTCACACTATTCACACACCCCCAGGACACAGACACATACAGAGCAGGGCTTGCAGATGTTACCCCACCCCTCCCTTCTTCCCAGGCCCCAATCCCTTTGTTCCCAGTTTCTCTCCCTCCTTCCCCCCAGCGGCACAGGGGGACAGGGGATGGGGTTTAGAGTCACTTCACAGGCTGGGGGTTCCTGCTGCTCCTGCCTCCTCAGCAAGAAGGATTCCTTACAGTCCTGCCCTGCTTCCCCATGGGGTCCCTCCCATGGCAGAGAGTCCTCCACCAACCTCTCCTTCCTGAGTCCTTCCCAAGAGGTACAGTCCCTCAGGGGCAGACTGCTCCAGCACGGGCTTTGCACAGTCATGGACTGCTTCAGGAATGGTCACCTCCATGACTGCAGATCCAAGTCCACAGGCTTCAGGTCCACATTCTCCCATCCTGGCGCCTTCAGGGAATGTTCCACCGTGCTCCTCCTCCATGAGTGCATGGGGACAGCCTGCCATCACCTGCTCAGGCACCTCCTTCCCCTTCTTCCTCACCAACCTCGGGATCTCCACCCCAGCACTGCTTTCACCTCTTCAGCTCAGCTCTTCTGTTTGCTCTCTGCTCAGGTCTTGTATCAGTTCTTTCATATGTTAATCACAGAGGCGCATCTATTGCCTCTACTCGTTCTGACCTTGGCCACCTGAGCTAGGAGGAAGGCTTTTTTAATAGCTTCTTACAGGAGCCGACCCTGGAGCCCCTCCCCCATTCCCAAAATTCAGGCAAGAAAGAACAAGTATCAGGACCACAAGAGCAACATACACACACACCATGCCCCCTCCCCGGCCCCCCCCTGCCATTGATTTAGGTCATTTGTGTTCATAATACACTCCAAAAATGTTCTGGGTTGCTTATGTCTTGGTCTGCTGCCTTTCAGCAGATGTTTGGGTGATTAAAGTCTCCCATGAACCAGAAATTGGACACTTGTCCCATGCAGACATAAGACTTCTTTCAGGTCTCTGAAGAAGACTTCATCTACTTCTTCCTGATTAGGTGCTCTGTAGCAAAACACCCACAACAATATCAACCATGTTGGTCTACCATTTAATCCTGATACATAAGATCTCAGTTGAAATATCTTCTGTCCCATACTCGACAGGATTCCATGCATTAAGCTGCTCTGTTTCCCTTCTCACCTCCCCAGTCTGTCCCTCCTAAAGACACTGTATCCAGCTACTGTGGCATTCCAGTTGTGTGAACAATCTCACAGCAGCTTTTTGATCCCTGTGAGAGTGTAGCCAGGCAACTGAACTCTGATCTATAATTCCTCATGTTCATTTCCCAGGCTGCATGTATAAATGTACAGGCACATCACAGAGGTTCTTTTCGTGTTGAATTTCTGAAAACAGTATGAGACCTTGCCCCATAATGCTGCCTCTTGGTACTTTTTTTGTGTGTGCTTATACTTGGAGTGGGCCTCTTCTTCTTTGTTTTGTTGATTGACTATGAACTCTTGTCCACAATACTCTGCATCTTTGGATTACCAGCTCAGTCCACGACTTTCCCATGTGACTGTGGTTCACCATTTCCTTCCTCTGTCATTCTTAGCTTAAAGATCTCCTCACCAGGTTGGCCATTCTGTTGGCAAAGACACTTTTGAGATGGTTTGTCAGGTGGATTCCATCTCTTCCTAGCAGACATAAATCCTCAAAGAGTATCCCATAAACAATAAAACAGAAAACTTGTCATTGACACCAGCTGCACAAACAACTGTGGACTTGCGGGGGCACATGTCCTCAAGTCCATATTGTCACTGTTAGAACTCAGGCAAAAAGCACCTGACACACCTTGCTGTTTGTCATTATCCTAAGAGCCATGTAGTCACATTTGATGTGCTTCAGGTGCTCATGCAGAAGAGTAGCCGTAGTAATCCAAGTCTAATGGCTGCCTGTCCCAGATCCAATCATCTAGACAGCCTCTCACTCTGTTCCCTGCAGGAGAGAGCCTTCCACTGCCACCACTTGTTGTTTCCCAATAAAGCACTCTCAGTACTTCAGTGTGGCTCAGGGACAACTGGTTCTGATGCTTCACTGGACAGAACTTTCTGCTCATCATCTACAATGAAAGCACTGAACCTATTCTGTAGCTATGGATCTGCAGGTGGATCAGGAGCCTTCTTCCTGTTGCCAGAAGTCACAAGTTTCCAGCCTCCACCACCAGAAAAGTCTCCACTTCCAAACCTGGTAAGTACAGTCTCTGACAGCCCCTCCTTTCAGTACAGCTGAGGATTTAGGCTCATGTACCTTCAGGATCTTAGAGAAGATCTATCCAGTCTCTTCCCCATGTAGCTGATGTTGCAGAGTCTGCAGACCTCTTTTGCTTGTTGACACAGATCCTCTACCAGTGCATACCTCCTGCAGGCAAGAAGGCAACCTTCCACTTCCCAGTCATAGCAAAATGTCCCGGGTACTCCCTGCATTCCCTGAGACCTACAGAGCTGCATCCTTACATCAGGAGCTCCATTTAATTTTGATACCAGTTATTAATTGAAATAAGTAAAATTTAGGGGGAAACTACACTTGGGGAAAAATCACATACAAGAGAACAAAAGGGACACACAGAATAAAAATAGAGCTTACGTAAGAGTGAAACAGCAAGAATTAGAAAAAACCAACAGTTTCTAATTAGAGAAAGGCAAGTCCCTAGTCAACAGCTTGGCCTTGAGACAGGCCTTCAAGACACTTGCAAGACAGATGAAAGAGGTGGAAAGGACTACTGGCCACAGCTTATCTTGGTTAGAGCCTTGAGCACTGGGGAAAAAAACCAATGAGTTATTTGAGTCACCTATTAACTTGCCATTAATATATTGATGAGCTATTAGCACACTGAGACAGACACCCACAGGCTAGAGGGACCCTTTCTAACAAAAAGCCCCTTACTCTTTGAGCATATGTAGTGAAATTCCTGAGCATTGTCACTTTAAATGGAAGTGAGGGATTAGTGACCAATCCTGTGCACCAGTGATAAAATAATGTTAAAGTTAATTCTCACGGTGCTTTGTGGAATACCACCCTACTCCCTTTTCTGCACAGAACTGGGTATTAAAGCAAATATCTTGACTCTGTGTGTGGATTGGCTTCTTGCACACCAGGTAATGGATCCCGCTTTCAGGAAGACAGTTTGACATCTCTGATGTGTCTTCAATATGCTTCTTAGATCTCCTTCCCATTCAATTATTTCTCTATCTTAGTCCATTCTTGGACTGAATTTCTGAATGCTATAATGGCAAGATGTAACTGGTAGGTAGAAACCTTCCACAAACAATTACTAGACTAATGGAAATAGATACTGTGTGTTAGGTGGTTTGTAAAAAGTGCCAATGATTTCACATTCTGGGCCTTTTTGTATGTTAGCCTTTAAGATCCACCCATACAAGTATATTAACATCTTCTTTAGAACCAGTCTAGAGCCACCTTTTAGATAGTAAGTAAGGACCACTGGGTATTTTTAATTTTCTCCGTGAGTGTATTTACTGGAGGCTATTGGGCTTTATGTTCCCATTAATGCAGCCTGTGCATTCAGGTAATATCCCAGGAGTCAAGAACTTCCTTGGGTTCTGCGGGAAATTTTACCAGAGTTGTTCCAGATTGGTGTGTTTTTCTTGTATCAGCTACAGGATAGGAAAGCAGGCTAACTTAGTCCACATATCTCTTCCTGGCAATGAGCAGGGTCAAAGGACAAACCACTTGCTTATCTAAAGCAAGACCCAGGCTGGTTTCTTAACCCTTTGCAATTTGGGAGTTTTTACAACCCTGGTAATTCATGCCACCACAGGGATAGGGTGGAGGTCCTGTAGCCAGAGGGTTGTGCCAATGTGACTGAGAAGGAGTACATACTTGCAGCAAGTGTTGGTTCTAATTTCTTTCCCCCTCTCTTAATTAACAGCACTGTTAGCCTGCTAGGAGCCAACCAACACACACTGTATGACCAATTCCCACCTTGTCAAGAAGTATGATAGTCTTTAGAATCCTCTGTTTTTGAGGAAAAGAATCTCAACTATTTCTAAATGGGTCAACGGGCCTGGATCTCTATCCTCCCCAAGCCCAGACTTCTCCTTGGTACAAAGTTGCACCTCTGCTACTTCGTGGCTGATACCCAGTTGAATTGTTACTACAGTTGAACTCATTATTTAGCTAGCTTTGCAACATTTAAAGCAGTAAGGTGCTTGGTACAAGTCCTTTGTGGGGCTCTGAAACACTTACTGTCTTTTCAAACGTCCCAGTGAAAGTCAACAGGGAAATGTTGACTTTAATAGGTGGCTGGCATAAGCCTTTTACCAACTCTGGGACTCGGCTTAGGTCAAGCCACGCCTCTCAGAGAAGGAGTTTAGAAAGCAAGGGGGTCCAATCTGAACCTCATGACTCAACCAGAGGACTTCCCCAGCCACCTTGCAGGCTCATACCCTTTTATACGAAAGCTTTCATTTCAGTATCTGTTTTGCTGGCATCTGTGCTCAAATATGCAGGAGAACGAAAGACCTACATTAGAAATAAGATAGCTACCATGCGTGGTTGGGTTACTTTGCAGCTCTTAAAAATGCTCTAAATTGACTCATCCATGAAGATCGCCCCTGTATAGATAGCTAATATAAGTTCTGTGGAGAACTCACAATTCAGGATCTAAGTGGGGCAGAGGTTTTGAGTACAGGTCTCCAGAGAAGTGGGTGATATCTTGGCATTTAACCAGATTACACAGTGTTCCAAGGATAGGCGGGGGAATATAATAATGAGAAAGTGGGAGGGGAATAAAGAACTAATACATATAAAAGAACATTATTATTATTATTTTATCGTTGTTGTTAAAACTATTACTAAATTGCTGAAATAAAAATAAATATTACCTCATGAATTCCAAAGTGAGCATAGGAATCAAAGTAATAATCCCTGGATGTCATCTCTTCTGGATTGATGAGCTTTGCCATCTTACCTCGGCCTGGGCAGCTTGATTGCAATGGGACATGTATGACAGATTGAACTGGTTTTGGAACAACAGTAGGCTGAGGAGGCTGGGATGGGATAGGGCAAACCTAGGAGAATATGGAATGTTGTTAAGAAACTTCATTAAAAGAAAACATTTCTCTCTATGTCCTAGCATAGTGACATTATTGTAACTAGCTAGGAGACAGTGAAACAAAAGACATCTGAGAAATCATAAGTTAAGCTTAGGCTGCCCTCTGTTCCTGACTCTAACTAATTTGCTCTGTGTTGGAAAATTTCCTTAATGTTTTTTTCTCTGCAGACATAAACATCAGTGCAAAGTAATGGCAAATTATTGGTGCTGGCTGAAGTGAGTGACTCCAAACACTGACGTAAGGCAGTTAAGAGTTAGGTTTTTTCTTTTAGTGTTTTTTCCGGTCAAACTGCCACAGTTTTGTGAGAGGTGAATCGTAATAAATAAATAGTTCCCCTTCAAAGAAGAGTAGTCAATTTACATCTCTGCCAGAGAGTACCTGTCCCATGTAGCAGAAGTAGAAGCCTATTAGGTCTGATTCTCAGTCATTTGAGAAGCCTTCATAGCCAAGCAGCCTGTGGTAAACTGTGGTGATGATGTGTGACAATGCCAGGCTGTGAATACCAAGAAGTCACGTGCTGCCCATCCTGTGCTATGGGTAACAGAAAACTGGATAGGGCTGGTGATTTTCTCAGCCAGGAAAGGGACAACTAGCTGCTGCCAACTTCTATGCAACCAACTATCTCTGCTGGGACAACTGTACACAGATTGGCTGGTGGTGCTCATTCAGCACCTTGAGCAGAACCTCATGGTGCAGTGATTTTTCAAGGAAACTGTATATAGGGGAGTTCAAGTCATACAATTTGTAACATGAAAAATAAATGATAAGATAAAGGCAACTCAAACTTATTATGAACAGTTCATTGCAGGTCACAGTCATGATACTCTTTTTAAAAATTGTATTTTGATGGGTTTTTTAATTGTTTTTGTTTAACATTTCTTTTATAAAATATCTCACTTTTGACTTAGCTGCCCCCATACCTCAATATGCACATGGACATCCTCCCCTGACTGCTTTCCCCCCTGACTCCTCCTCTGTTTGCCCCTCTGCTTGCACAACTGCTCTTCCTGCCTTCAATGAAACATGTACTGGAGGTAGGGCAGGAATGAGCCTGCCTCCCATGGGAGACCATCACTTGCCAGGAGCTCAGGACTTCCTTCAGCAGAGTGCAGAGCTCCTGCCAATGTTCAAGGTGGTTTATTCAAGGGCTTTCTGGAGCTTGACATGCATGGTGGGAAGCAGTGACAGAGTGTTGCATGAAGGGTAAAAGTGGTGGCAAGGAGCCATGTGGAGGGAAGGGGTGGGATGGTACCATGTGGGGATGCTGAACCAGCATCATCTGCTGATCTGCATACAGTTGTCCCAGCAGATACTTGGCAGTGTTGAAGTGTTCAACAGGAGATGGTAGTGGCCAGTTGTCCTTGACCTTTCTCAGCCAGCAGTACTGTGTCACAGGGACCTTATATAGCCTGCTTTGTTTCGTGCCAACAACATCCTGGCTTGTATCAGAAATAGTGTGGTCAGCAGGACTAGGGAAGTGATTGTCCCCCTGTACTCAGCACTGGTGAGGCCACACCTTGAATACTGTGTGCAGTTTTGGGCCCCTCACTACAAGAAGGACATTGAGGTGCTGGAGCAGGATCAAAGAAGGGGAATAAAGCTGGTGAAGGGTCTAGAGCACAAGTTTTACAAGGAGCATCTGCAGGAACTGGGATTGTTTAGCCTGGAGAAAAGAAGGCTCAGGGGAGACCTTACTGCTCTGGGACTTAGGTCCTGCTGCTGTGTATCCTATCAATATGTAAGTCGAAGAAAATTAAGGAAATATTTCCCTCCTTTTACAGATTAAGCAGTTTCTAACCCCTTTCTTTGTGGACAGGGTTGTTAGATAACCGATCCATTTAAGGTATTAGCACAGGGCTGTTTTTTAAAAAGCTTTGAGAGGCAAGATCCATAACCCTCATTCATTTCTCGTAATCTCACATCTGAACATCTTGACATAGAGTTCTAAAACATATATAGACACCCCAGTGATGCATCTGACTTTCAGATCTGTGGAGCTGCCCATGTGCATCAATGGAAACTGTTGAAATTCTTCTTTCTTGAAAACTGGACCTAAGTCAACATGGACTTATGAGGTTATATGGATGTAAAATTCTTGCAATACAAAAGAGAAATGGGTATTCAAAAATCATAAGAGTATTTGAAAATTTGTGCCATTTGGATATAACCATTTGCCTACAAAGTGGCAAGATGGTGAAATATGCACAACTCATTTTTTAGAAAGTTGTGAAAAAAGCTCAGATATGTAGAGTAAAAATAAACTTGAACTTCAATGTTCCTGTCTTGATATTACTATGGAGACACAGGGCTGCAGGTTAATATTCAAATCCCTGGTAAACTGTTGTTCAAGCTGCAGTGTTTTCTCCTCGTTGTTTTTTGTTATTTATTACATTTTTAGAGCATTGGTGAGGTTAACAGTATCTTCTGTTTGAAAATGTTGTCTTTCATTAGGAAACTACACTCATTAAAATGGGATTCTAGAGTAATATGATTCAATTTCAGCACTCTCTTTCTATTAAATAAATGGTTTTATCATATCTAGATGTTAATTATACTTATTTCTTGGACCTGATAGCTTTTCCTGTCAGAACTAAAAGAACAGAATATGTCAAGCGGCATTTTCATTAGTTTGAATATAATAATATACCCCTCTAGCGTGCAAGATATTATCACCTGATACGCAGTCACCATAACAGTTCCAGCCTCTTCTTGCTGCAGATATAAAGACATAGCCAAATATAAGATTTGGTATCCTTCTGCTCCAATTTAGGCTCACTTTTACAACAGCTTCTTGGAAGTCATTACATAGCGACACAGTTTAAAATCTCCCTAGACTCCTTTATCTTGTATTGTTTTGAAGTAAGTCTTTGTCCCAAGTTTGTGGGAACATAATTTAAGTGATCTTGGGATTGAGCAAAGTATCTGGTTCATTATCTGAGAAGAGAATTTTTAATCTGATTTTCTGAGGAAATAAAGCTGCCACAGTATCTTGTCTGTGTCTCCCATTAATTTTTGAGCTTGTCCAAACCACTCTAATTTGATGGATTAGTGGAAATATCAAAAAACATTTGTATTCCTATGCATTTCTCGAAAAACAGAAATTAGGACGAAGAAAAGTCAATCTAATGATCCTCTGAAATTGAAGCAGCCAGATTTTAATTGTCATTCTGTCTACTTGCTCTAGGTTTATTGAGCTAACTGGCTTGTGTTACATGTATAAAGTATAGTCTCCAGATTAACCATGTTGTATGATCAATAATGATGATGTAGGAAGAAGTCTAGGCAGAACTCAGAACTAAGTTGGAGATAAGGAGAGAAAGAGCAAATACTTCAGGAAACAAGGTTTCATTAGCTTCCCTACTCATGGAAAAACCTTTTTATGCTAAGGATATGAAGTTCACAATGAGTGCAAAATGGCCAGAAATAAAGGAGTTCCAATGAAGACCAGCTGAGACAAACATTCAACTGCAGACAGATATCACAGCATGTTTTCAGGAAGTAGAGCATTAAAAAAACAGTCAAGAATGTTGGATTTTTTTTGCCTTTTGTTGGATTTTGTTTTTCTTAGTGAAGGCTTCATGTTGTAATATTTCTCAAGATCAGGATTAAATAACCAGTTCTTCAGCAGCTATAGATCTACTTTCTCCTTGATAAAAATTTGACTCGGTTTATTTTAAAATACAGATGAGTTCTATGCAACTGCAAATCTTTCTAAACTCTAAAACTGAAAATTTAGCCAGACAGACTCTGTAAGAAATTTGGGAGAAATAATTGATTCTTAAAACTGCTTGCTTTGCAGCTACTACTTTTTCAGTCCCTTCAAAGTCAAGCACTGCTCTAAAATTTCTGCATGGAGTGTCTGAAATGCCTGATCAAACTGTCGTACACAAACCTGTAGCAGGAAGTTCATTGTCCTTTACAGACAAGCATAGCCTAGAGTCTATCATGTTATCCCTGAGGTAATGTTGGTACTAAAATTATTTTGAAAACACTGAGGCATATTCTGAAATTGGAGGCTCTGTTGTTTGCTTTAGAATAAAGCCTCTGTCTGGAACAACTGAGACTGAGCAGTCATACAAAGAACTTGATTATAAACTAAGTGTTCAAATTCTCAAAAAGTCCAAAAGATAAAGCAGGCCTTCAGTGTGATAAAGGCATGGCTGGCATATTTAGCCTGCAGCATAAATAATGCCAAGTAGCAAGAAGGAATGCAAAAATCACAAAGGTTTGCAAATCTGATATTTGTTCAAAAGTTAAGAGAGAATTTAGATATCTAAATGTAAGTACAAGATAGGAACTATACCTTTGTGGATCTGCACCAGGGTACTATATACTGTCAAGATTCTTCATGGGGACTATCTGTTGGGAAAAACCCAGAATCTTCTTGGCGCAGGTCACAAATTAAGCAAGCAAATTTTCAGCTGGGTATAAAGGAATAATTCTTCCCCCTAATAGAGGTAAAGCACTGAAACAAATGCTTAGATGGTCTGTGGGGTCTCCAACCTTGTAGACTGCAAAACTCAGCTGGAGAAGGTCCTCAGAAGCCTGATAAAGTTATCTGAGCAGGATGCTGGACTAGATTACCTCCAGAGGTCACTTCCTTCCATATTATTCCATGATAGTATGATATGTACAGTTATATTTGTACTATGCAGGAGATACAGGTAGCAAAGGCAGGATAAACTTATAAACCTGAGCCTAATGGGATAAAAATGTGGGGTCATAGATTCATACACACAGTAGGAACAAAATCTGTTTCCATGAGATTAAAGAATACACAATATGAGAACAAGAAGACATGACACTCTGTAATTAAAAGATTTCTGAGCTACATGTAACAGAATTGGACAGAAAAGGTAGGAAATGAGATGACAGTATGTAAGGATGGGAGTGATGTGTCTGTAGCATTTATAAGTCTGAGCAGTTCTGAACTATTCTGTGCATCTGTGCTGGTA